GTCTAATCAGCATCTTGATATGCCACACCTGTGAGGTGGATGGATTATCTCGGCAAAGGAGAAGTGCTCACTAACACAGATTTAGACAGATTTGTGAACAATATTTGAGAGAAATAGGCCTTTTGTGTACATAGAAAAAGTCTTAGATCTTTGAGTTCAGCTCATGACAAATGGGGGCAAAAACAAAAGTGTTGCGTTTATAATTTTATTCAGTGTATTTATATATATATATATATTCTTAAGTGTTTCACTTTGACATAACATAACTGTACAGTGCCATCGGCGAACAACAAACAAATAACCCCAATGGCTTTTTTATCATAGCCGGTGACTTCAACCATGCAAACTTAAAGATAGTTTTGCCAAAGTTCTACCAACATGTGAACTTACCAACAAGGGTAAACAATACACTGGACTTTGTGTAAAACAACAAAGAATGCGTACAAGGCTGAACCCCGCCCCCACCTTGGGTACTCAGATCACATCTCTGTTTTGCTAATCCCAGCATATAATCCACTTCTGAAACTCGCCAAACCGGTTCAAAAACTAATCACAATTTGGCCAGATGATGCTACCTCAACACTACAGGACTGCTTTCAGTGCACAGACTGGAACATTTTTAAAGAGGTGGCCACCTACAACAACCACACTGACCTGCAGGAGTACAATGAAACTGTGAGTGCTTATATCAAAAAGTGCATGGATGATGAGACAGTCACCAAGACCATCACCACACGTGCCAACCAGAAGCCGTGAATGAAAGCTGAGGTTCGTGGGCTGCTAAAGACCAGAGATGAAGCATTCAGATCAGGAGACAAAGCAGCCCTCAAAACAGCAAGAGCCAATCTGTCCTGTGGCATCAAAAATGCGAAACGGTCATATGCTCAAAAAATCAACAATCACTTCACAGACAGCAGAGACACACAGAGCCTGTGGCGAGCCATTCAGACCATCACTGACTACAAGCCCCCGTCACAGGCCTGTGAGGATGACACATCCCTCCCAGATGCACTCGACCACTTTTATTCACAGTTTGAAATGCAGAATGACACACCTGCACAAAAAACTGCCCACACCTCCCAATGACCAGGCACACTGACTGTCTCCAGCCGATATAAGGAAGACCTCTTACCCACCTAGAAAATAAAGACTCCTATGTTAGAATGCTGTTCATCAACTTCAGCTCAGCATTCAACACAATAATCCCACAACAGCTCATTAATAAACTAAACCTGCTGGGCTTTAACAATTACCTCTGTAATTGGATCCTGGACTTTCTAACCAGAAGACCTCAGTCAGTTCGTGTCGGCCATAACACCTCGAGCACTACCACACTGAGCACAGGTGCCCCACAAGGCTGTGTGCTCAGCCCGTTGCTCTTCACGCTGCTGACCCACGACTGCACTGCCAAGTTCAGCTCCAACCACATGATCAAGTTCACTTGTGACACAACAGTGGTAGGTCTCATCAGCAACAACGATGAAACGCACTACAGAGAGGAAGTGGCACAGATGGCTGAATGGTGTGGCACTAACAACTTGTCCCTCAATGTGGGGAAGACAAAGGAGGTTGTTATGGACTGCATCATTTCTCAGTTTGTGGAGAAACTCCATTGACCACTCCCCACTGACCATCGACAGCTTGACTGTGGAGAGAGTCAGCAGCACTAAATTCCTGGGGGTGCACAACACAGAGGATCTCACCTGGACCACCAACACCATGTCACTCTCCAAGAAGGAACAACAGTGCCTACACTTTCTCCGCCGGCTGTAAAGAGCAAGTCTCCCTCCACCTATCCTTACCACATTCTACAGAGGAACCATTGAGAGCGTGCTGACCAGCTGCATCACTGTCTGATATGGGAACTGTAGAGAAGCAGACCACAAGACCCTCCAGCAGACAGTGAACACAGCTGCAAAGATCATCGGTGCCCCTCTCCCCTCCATCCTGGACATTTTCCTTACACGATGAACCAAAAGATTTAAGAATGACAAATTACCACAGCAATACTCTTGGCTAAATTCTTTGCCCCATGCCATATGTTCCACAAGTGAACAATTCCTTTGTCTTTATAGCGATTATATAGTCGTTTGATCTTTGAATGGAGAAAAGAACTGCTGACAATTCATAGAGTACACGCACACACACACACACACACACACACACACATAAATATATATATATATATATATCTACACAACAAACCTGTACACAGTGCATGAGGATATTGCCTGGTTTACTCCATTTTTTAAAAAGCCATGGAACATATCTAAAATGACAACACCATCTTTAGTCTTCAGACGTTGAATGGCTGCAGATGTCTTCTCCTCCCACATGTCCTTTATTGCTCCTATGCAGTAGGTGTCCTGAATGGCAAAAAATGTTCCATACCTATGTTCATGTAGTTGAATAGGTGTGCTACTTTATAGTACTTGTTTCCAGAAAGGAGAATGTTTGTGGACATCATGATGTCCTCTGCCAGCATGCCGTATTTAAGTGTGGGCTGTGAATTCCACATCCACACTTTGACCATTTTAACATATCTATAATGTAAGTCTTTACGTAAGTCAATATGGTGATTGTTATGCTTACACAAACACTCGCACACAGACAGACAAAATCTGTGTGTCGGTCTGTCTGTGTGTGAGTGAAGCCACGTGCACACCGGGACGATTTTCGCATGCTTATCACCAGCGTTTTTTGACGCATCTTGTGTATTCATACCATAGACTGTATAAAAACATGGACGTAGTGTCCGTGACGTCACCTGTAGTTTTCTGAAGATCGTTTTTGAAGCTCAAAGTTTTTGAAGCTCAAAGCGGGCTGTCGCCATCTTGGCAGCACGTCACCGCACGTCACTCCCGGATAATCGAAAATGGGCAAAAAGTTGGGAGCTGGTTGCTGAAGCCATGCCCACCTAGCTCGACAGCAGTGTCGGCAACGGCAATCCACCTGTCACTCAAGTGGCGACGCCCTTAATTATGCAGAACTTTAAGGCTTAATATAATTTAAACGGATGAGTTGTAAAAAAAAATTCGCCCCCCTAATTTAGCTATATAGACCAAAATCTTTTTTTGAACCAGGCTGTAAACATGTTTTTTTCAGCTGTAAAGTTGGGCATTTTAACATGGGGAGTCTATGGGACTCCCTTTTGCAGCCAGCCTCTAGTGGCCAGTTGACAAATTACAGTTGAAGTCACTTCCGTGTTGGCTTCACAAGAGAGAGCGGGAAGCTGCCGCTTAGTTCATACCCAATCGATTTTCACTGGCGATGAGCCGAGTGAACGTGCAAATTCACTCCCTGACATTAGATGGCGCTTAATGAAAAATACCCCGGTACACATCGAATCCTAGTTGATCTGCAATTACTCTCCATAACAACTCCCTCTTCTCGAGATTTTTGTAGTCACTGTCACGTTTGTCTGTCACTCTCTGTGTTCAGACACCAATGAGACCAGCATCTCTACATTCATCTTGCCTCTATGCTTCTTCTTCGTCTACTTACATCCTCTTCGTCGTTAGGTATCAATGTGTGCTCGGCAAGACTGTTTTGTGCTTGAGCGACACACAGAGTCGTGTTTTACTGTAACTTCAGCAGCTCCGGGCACGTGAACAAAAGTGCCAATCTCATTGGTCGGTCAGTTTTTAACGTGGTGCGTCAAACCAAAAAAAACAAGTCCGAGGCGTGTTTTTTTTAATTACGCTTTTACGCCTGGCGTTTTGCGCACCGGTGTGCACACTCACATTGGCACCCTTTGTTTAGTCATGAGGCATTAAACGTCGCCGATAATCGTCCTGGTGTGCACAAGCCTTGAGTGTTTGTTTGTGTCTGTATGTGTGTGTGTGTGTGTGCGTGCGTCTGTCTGTGTGCAAGTGTCTATGTCTATGTGTGTTTCTGTGTTCTTGAATATATGGTTTATGAGTACAAACTGTCAGGTTACTCACCAGCATTACAGGGACACTTGGTTCATAAGGACACTTCAATGTCCTCGTAATTCTGGGAGCAATTATGTTGTTTTCTGACTCCAAATAATGCCCCCTATTAAGTTTTTAGTCTTAAGCCGCGGTCACACTACACTTTGAGCATGTGAAACTTGATCGGATGCTGCAAGGGTCGTGAAAAACTTAAATACAACACATAAACAATAATAATAATACACCTAAAATATAAAAACATACAATCTACTCCACTGTTTTAAAGGGATAGTTCACCCAAAAATGAAAATTCTGTCATTAATTACTCACCCTCAAGTCGTTCCAAACCCGTAAGACCTTTGTTCATCTTCGGAAGTCAAGTCAAGTCAAGTCACCTTTATTTATATAGCGCTTTTAACAATACAGACTGTGTCAAAGCAACTGAACAGCATTAATTAGGAAAATAGTGTGTCATTAATGCAAAATGACAATAGTAAACACTAATTTTTCAGTTAAAGGCAGTTCATCATTGAATTCAGTGATGTCCTCATCCAGCTCAGTTCAGTTTAAATAGTATCTTTGCAATCATTTGCAATCAAGTCAACGATATCGCTGGAAATGAAGTGTCCCCAACTAAGCAAGCCAGAGGCGACAGCGGCAAGGAACCAAAACTCCATCGGTGACAGAATGGAGAAAAAACCTTGGGAGAAACCAGGCTCAGTCGGGGGGGGCAGTTCTCCTCTGGCCAGACAAAACCAGCAGTTCAATTTCAGGCTGCAGCAAAGTCAGATTGTGCAGAGGACTCATCTGGTTCCTGTGGTCGTCTGAGACAAGGTCTTTACTGGGGATCTGTATCTGGGGCTCATCTAGTTGTCCTGGTCTCCGCTGTCTTTCAGGGCTTTAGAGGTCCTTTCTAGGTGCTGATCCACCATCTGGTCTGAATACGTACTGGATCCGGGTGACTGCAGTGACCATCTGATCTGGATACAGACTGGATCTGGTGGCAACGGTGACCTCGGAATAGAAACAGAGAAACAGACTAATATTAGCGTAGATGCCATTCTTCGGGCTAATATGGTCATACTTCCTGGTTCTAGTAAGAACTGTAGCTGCTGCAATTTGGAACACAAATTAAGATATTTTTGATGCATTCCGAGAGCTCTTTGACCCTCCCATAGACAGCAAGGGTACCATGACGATCAAGGTCCAGAAACGTAGTAAGGACATCAGTAAAATAGTCCATGTGACTACTGGTCACAACCAGAGAGACAACCAGTCTCCTCTTGGCTTATATCGAAATCCTCCGACATTTCTCTTTACAAATCCGCGTTTTGTACTTCTAATTCGTGACTATTGTTTTGTTTTGATCTCTCCACTGCGCGTCTTCGATATGTAACTCCGACGTCCTATGTCATCCGCCCGGAGTGGCCTCCGTGTACAACTGTCAGCACAAGCTATATTATGTTTTAAATATGGATATTTTTCTTTAAAAAACACATCGATTCGCTACAGGAGGCCTTTGTTCACCCCCAGGAGCCGTGTGAGGCACTTTTTATTATGGATGGATGCACTTTATTGGACTTGTTTTGGACTGATGAAGAGAAACATCCATTGGAACGCCCATTGCATTATAAAGCTTGAAGGAGCCAGAACAATTTTTAATATAACTCCGATTGCATTCGTCTGAAAGAAGGAAGTCATATACACCTAGGATAAGTAAATAATGGGCTAATTTTCATTTTTGGGTGAACTAACCCTTTAAGCCTTGTAAAGCCATTCTTTATAATAATTTTCCATGGTTAATTGGTTGCTAGCCTTCGTGTTTTATCAACCTTTTTTATTTGTATTTTTTAAACAGGACATTGTGTTTTTGCAAAATATTTCATTGGGAATTTCCTTCATAATCGAGTACCACGGAGCTCTGTGTGAAGAAAACAAGTTTAATCAAATCTCAAATCCATTCACGTATTATTTTAAACATAATGGAAAAGATTATTGGTAAGTACAATATACTTGAAGTGCATCTAGATATGACAACCAAAATCAAATTTCATTAATGAACTATGTGGGTTATTGTTGTCAAAAGTACTGCTACTTCGTTACCTATTTGATACTAAGAGCTTTCAAATGGTCCTGTGTGTATTTGTTTGCAGTCTGTCAAGACTGTCAAAGGTTTCTATTTATAAAAGGTTTTTGCAGCATTGAGTATTGTAGCCAACCACAGACATGTTTGCTGATCACCTAAATGCAATGGCTAATCAGAGGCAATTAAGTTTGTCAGAACCCATTTAATA